ACTAAACTACATTATATTAAACTAAAGTAATCTAACATACATCATAAACTAAACCAAACCAAACTAACATATCATAATATTAAACTAAACTAACATACATTACATAAAACTAAAGTAAATTAAACTACATTATATTAAAATACCCTAAATAATCTAACAGGCATTGTATTAGGGTTTGTAATGTGACAATTAAACCAACTAATTGTACAAATCCTACACAAAAATTAAAGACAAAAAAAATATAAAAGGGTTTATTATTATACCAAAATTATATTAACTTGAAACAAAAGGGGAAAAGGAACTCATTATGAGTAGATATAACCTCGGTGGTGGATGCACGACAAGCTCGGTGGAGGTGGCGTCGATGGTGGCTGCGAAGAACTTCTACAGTTAGGGTTTCACCGGTTTGATTAAAAAAATTAAAAAAAAATAGAAAACAACAACAACAACAACACTAACCACCGACAGCATCAGGAGCGGCAAAACCTTGCTTTGGTAGCAGCGGTGATCGGTGGTGGCCGCGGAAACGGCGGTGGTGAGGGTTAGAGATCCGGAAAAGAAAAAAAAATAAAAAAAACATCACAAAACTAACTCCACTTACCAAACGGCGCCAAGGCGGTGCGTGGAACCCGGTGGTGGCGGCGGATCTGGGAGCGCTCTTCCTCTTTCTCTTTCTCCCGTTCTTTTTTTCTCTCTCCTTTGTTCCTGGTTTTGTGAATAACAATGCAAAGGATCCTATGTTGTTTTAACCTGTTCCGAGGGAAATAAATTCCGTCGAAATATTTTCGAGGGAATTTCCCTCGGAAAATACCTTTTCCGACAGAATATTCTGAAGGATCCAAATTCATCGGAAAATTCAAAATTTCCGACGGAATTTAGGTCAATCGGAACGGTTCTGTCGGAAAACGGCCTATTTCTAGTAGTGATGGGGGTTACTTCGTTAGTATTATAGGGGTTACTTGTCAGTAATGCAGGGATTACTTTGTCAGTGTTATAGGGATTATTCGGTCAGTGTTGCAGGGGTTACTCGATCAGTGTTATAGGGGTTATTTCGTTCTTTTACAAGCGGCCACATGGTGTGGCTAGCCGCACACAAAACACGTTGGAATATAAAAGGTTTGAAGCTTTAGCAGTTACTCCCTCCGTATTTTACTACTTGCTCCATTTCTCCTAGACAAGTATGCCAATACAAATCTTTAATCAGTAGTATCTTTAATTATCAATAAGTTTAAATTATAAAAATTGAAAATTAAAAATCTATTAAATGAGACGATTCCAACAAATATCCACAAGACTATATTTTTAGGTATATATAAATTACGAATTATTAGTCATAGTAATAAATAATGCAAAAGTGCAAATAGAGAAAATATTAAAACACGGAGGGAGTAAGAGTCTTAGCACAAATCTATGAAGTGAATTAACATATGCATTAACAAAGTTGGGGTGTCAGAGATACTCTTCATAAAAGGAACATTATCCCGCTTAAAATTTGCCCGATTTGCAATCATCAAAATGAAATCTTGGGTTCAATTCTGTGCAATTGGGAAAAGAAAGAGATGGATATGACAACTTCATTGTGGGAGTAGATGAGTCATGGGATAAGAAGACGATAAGGGCAGGGATTGGTTGGGAAATCATGGGAAGTGACCATGACAACGGGGCAAATGAGGGTAGTAGACATGGTGCGGCAGCGTCAACACTCCAATGTGAAGTATGGGCTTGCCCGGAAGCAATGAAATGGGCTCGATCTAAAGGTAAGCAGGGGATCCTCATCCTCTCAGATTCTATTTCTCTCCTTAACAACCTACAAGACAGACTAGGTAAGGATGTTTTGATCACTTAGATGATTAAGGAAATAAGGGAAGTGCGTGCCTCGTTCCAAAAATGCACAATTTTAAAAGTTTATAGAGACCAAGTGCAAAGGGCAGACGACATAGCTTGGAGATGCTATGTTATCCTTTCTAATTATTTGTAGTTTGTTTTGTTTTGGAAATTTGCTATTGTCAAAAATAAAAAAAAAAATAAAAAAATGAAACACTTGAACATCTTTTCCTCAATTGATCAAAAACTAGAGAATTGTGGACTCTTCCTTTAATAAAAACTAGATTGTACAATCTCCTTTGTTAGTTTAACAGAAAATTTTCTGTTTCTTAGAAAACACCCAAACACATTAAGGAAATTTATTTTCCTCATTTGGAGTATTTGGAAAGAACGGATGTTGTTATCTTCCGCAGTAAGACCTTTGACATTTTTAGAATCTACTATCAAACACAATCTGCGTTCAATGAGTGGCACCAAAGATGCCTCTTAGATACCTTTTCCTCTATGGGATCTCCCTTTCCGAGATCTCGGATCTATTCTTCTAATTTACTCTCCCCATCTTCTATCCTTGTATCATGGAAGCCTCCTCCCATCAACTTCTTCAAACTCAGCTTCGACAGGCAGTTCGCAACAATTCAGCAGCAGTAGGAGTCATCATCAGAGATAGCAGCGGAGCACTCATCAAGGCATCTACCTTCAACCTCGGCAACAACAAAGCTTTCATATATAGCTGAAGCTATATAGCTCTTCATAAAGGAGTACAACTAGCTATTCAATGTGGCATTCAAAACATCCAAATTGAAGGTGATAATTTGCTAGTCATCAACGCTATAAAAGGCATTTGGACAGTCCCTTAGCACGCAGATCGAGCATATTATCAAAGACACTCATTCTCTTCTCACTCGGTTTCAAAGTTGGAGTATCCAACATATTTATCAAAAGGCAAATCACGCAGCGGATTGGATTGCTAATGTAGGTCATTTAGTTTCTAATAGTATGGATATTGATAATTGTAATAATTCTAGTTTGTTTTCTATTCTTTCGACTGACAAATTAGGAATACCCCTCGTGAGAAGGGCTTCCTAATGATTTTTATCTTATCATTAAAACAAATAATAAAAAAAATAAAAAATTAACAAAGTTGGGGGACAAATACAAAACTCGACTTCCCCTTTTAAAAATCATCAAAGTGTACGTATAACTTTGACTTTTTATTGGTTGATAGTTTGTTAGGCATACTTCCTTAAAATCCTTCCGTACCATTCCAAAATAAAGCTTCTTGAATGAGTAAATATATATTGAGCTGAATTTAGAAATAGAAAATACATTATACAAGTAGTCTTTATTTTCATTGGAAAAAAAAAAAAAATTGTCATCTCAAAATTATACTGTAAGTCTGTAATAGCAAGCATGATTATTAGTTTATTACGAGTAGTATCTTTTGTGATTGGATTTGTTGACCTGGACTTTCAAAAACATGCAGCAATTAATTTTTTTTTTTTTTTTGATAGAATGCATCAATTAAATTATAAAGTCAAAATACATTAAATCCATATTAATTTTTTTATTTTTTTATTTTTTTTTTTCGGGAAATCCATATTAATTATATTAGAAGTTTTTCAAGATGTTATTATTAATAATTAAAAAAAATTAAATACACCCCTAACCCAAAATAATAAGCCATAATTATATTTTAATTTGTCCTAAAATAATTTCCCACATTCTAATATACCTTGTAAACTCTCAATGACAACTACTGTATAAGCAAATCTGCAAATAAATAGTACGAGTACCTTGTGGAGTCAGTCATAACTCATAACAAATAAAATGAGGGCAAATAAAATCCTAATATAAATAGGATGGATAAAAAAAGCTTTTAGATCAAATTATAAATTGAGGATTCTAAAGTGTCCGTATAGGCATTAAAGATTCATTATCAATAAAATTATTAGATAATCCTTCCATAATTATTTAAATTACCCCCTCTGGATTTATTACTTGCCCCACATTCTTTTTTAAAAACTTTTAACAATATTTTATTATTTCTCTCCCCACTTGCCCTATATCCACTTTTGTTTTTTTAGAACTTTTTTATTTTTCCACTAATCTCACTCTCATTCTATTTTATTACTTTCTACTAATTCTTCTAAAGCTTCGCACATGGAGAAATGAAGCAAGTAATAAAATACGGAGGGAATATATTATAGATTTTAAAATTTCTCTTTAGGGTTCACCATTCCCTTCAATTTAGCAGTTACTTTATTTTTTTTGTAAGGTAATCTTTAAATTTGGCAATTTCCCTAGGATCAAATTAGGTTTTATCTTACCCAAAAATCTTGTCTTTAAAATATAAGTCTTGTTAATTTTTTTATTTTAATTTATTTTTTATTTTATTTTATTTTTTATAAATTTTATTGCAAGTAGTTCTTTTTTTAGATTTCATGTATTATCAATCTTTTTTTTATATTCACTTTTTATTGGCTAAACACCGTCGTATTAATTTATATGTGTATTACGAGTACTTAGACTATATTCAATTCACATGATTTGATTTGGTATGGATTTTCCTAATTTAATTTAATATGATGTGGTCTTATCTGATTTGATTTTCAAATTTGGACAAAATTTGTACACTTATTTGTAGGATAAAATTTATCAAATGAGATTCCTATTATTAAGTACTTTCTGAATATAAAACTTTCATAATTTTTTATTACAAAAATAAAGATAAATAACCACAAAAAAAAAAAAAAAAGAAAAAAAGAAAAATTGGTTTGGTTTAATCTGGTATGGTCTGATCTATTTGTTATTTCTAAAATAAATTGATATCAATTTATTTAGGGTAATGCTAAATAAGTACTGCATATAAGCACTTAATATATTTCGTTTTTTAGTACGAGTATTAAGTTGGGAATTTATTGTTATTATTTCCACTTTTAATTTTTTTTATATGCAGGGTTGCATATTTCTTTTTCCATTTATTTAAGTTGAACTAAACATAACTTTATAAATTAAAAGAGAGATTAAATTATTAGTAAAATATAAAAACGGGTAGTTGTGAATTATGTTTGGGTCTCGGCCTTCCCCACCAAAGACCAAAGCTTTCCTTTAATTCCAAAACACTAGTAGCAAGAATTGGTCAACTACTCCAACTCTTCTTCATGCCTATAACTCAATCAAAACTCCCTACCCTCACCAAACCCAACACACAAACCAATAGAACCTTCCTTTTTCCTACACCCCCTTTTCATTACAATCTCTATATAATTCCACTTTCCACCCCTTCTTTCCCTTGATCAAAACATCCTCCCTTTATTTTGGTCCTCTACCCAATTACTCTCCCCTCTCTCTCTATAGACCCACAACCCCCATTCTAGCACTCGCCCGCCTTCCCGATAAAACTGATTCATATCCGATTACTCAATCAGTGGAAGATGGGATCAACAACGAGACTTTCGTTGTTAATACTATCAATATCTTTCCTAGTCACAACGGCAATAGCACAAACAGCATGTAGAGCACACACCTTTACAAACAACCAACAATACAGCAGTTGTAGTGATCTCCCTGAATTGAATTCATTCTTATATTGGACCTATGATTCGACAGCCCGCACCGCCAACATCGCCTTCCGAACCACCGGGGTTAGCCCGACCTCGAACTGGATCGCGTGGGCCCTTAACCCGACTGGGTCCGGCATGGTTGGGGCTCAGGCTTTGGTTGCCTACCAAAATTCTTCCAGCAGCAGCGTTCACGCCTACACATCTTCTGTTACTTCTACTGCCACCTCTCTTGCTGAAAGTAGCATCAGTTTCCGGGTATTTACTATTACTCCTTTTTAGTTTTTCAATTATCTATTTTCTTTCTATTATTAATCCCAATGAAAATTAATTGTGTTTATTTAGTTTTTAAATATTCATTACAATTTTGAACGGATTAATTTAGTAAAAAATTCATTGTAAAAAAATTAATAGAGTATTTAAATTAATCGTGATCGTCAATTATCTGGGTTAGTTTTTTAACTGAGTTGGACGGTATCAAAAGCCTGAGTGACAAAATTACTTTGCTTTTTTTCTCCATTTGATCACAAGGTACAAGTAGATATTTGGGAAAAAGAAATAATCTTGTTTGATTACAGAGTAGTGCACAAGATACTACCAGTTATGCCTAAAATAAATTGTCACTTTGTCAATATTAGAAACGTGTATGAGTTATTCCGAAGTATTATAAAATAAAAGAATATGAATTTCCCATGAAGAATTAATAATAATTTATTGTGATTTTAATGTTAAATATCAGTCAAACAAAGATTTTTTATATTTTAATTATTATTTTTAATAAGTTGTTGCTTTAGGATGATGTAAGTGTTACACTATGATGATATTGCGGTACAATTGGGTAAAGGTCAATACAAAGTTTTAAAAGTTAGCATTGAATTATTTTTAAAATACAATACTTTTTCAATGGAAGAAAAATCTAAATTTTACAGGTAATTTCTTGATTATGGAGTTAGAAAAAAGAAAATGTGATTTGGTATCTGGGTTATTTTTATGTTATCATCAACAATAGGAAAAAAAAAAAAGATTTGATTTGCAATAATAAAAACCAGCTATTTATTCCTTATGTGCATGTTATTGAATTGACTAGCGTTTAATTTTAGAATCAATCAAAATGATCACTAGCCGCCCTGTTTGATTGGAATGGACAGCCTAGCTCATCTAGAGGAAGAAACAGAATACTCTTTACTCGTTATTATAGTGGAGACATAATTGTTACATTACTTGTTTAAATTACATTGTTTGTTATAACACAAAGTGTAATTTTAATTATTATTTATTTATTTATTTATTTATTTATTTATTTATTCGGGTGCTAATAATTGGTGACTTTTGTAAACACTATGGTTATATGGATGATGTATTGTCTACAATATGTGATTATTAGATACTTATATGTACGGTATATAATAAAATTGGTAACTCGACTAATTCATATGATGGTACAACTATAATTCAGGTGAGCAACTTATCGGCGACTAGTGGGACCAATGAGATGACAATATTTGCAACTATTCAACCACCAAGGACGACGGTGAACCAGGTGTGGCAAGTGGGCCCAGTGAGCGGAGGTAGTCCGGGGCAGCATAATCTTCATAGTGCTAACAAAAAATCCTCTGGCTCTATTAACTTCCTCTCTGGCCAAGCCACTGCAGGTGGTGCAACTATTCAAAGACTTAAACAAAAGAATGTAAGTTTTCAATTTCATTACTCCCACTCGTTTTTATACTCGCTTCTAATACAATCGACCTCATAAAGCTGTAGGGGTGTTCAAAAATACATGACCAGACCTTTTATTGACTCGTTACAAAGAAAATTGTCTAATGCCATTACAAATTTACACAAAGTTAAAGAAAAAAACGAAAAAAGCCCCTAAGCTAGTTGGGATTAATCTAGTTCCTACCTCTTTTGAAATTTCAACCAACTTACCTACTCTTCTCTTATTAAAGCTTATTCAATTCTAGCGTATATCTTTGAAAGAGTCAATTAGCATTATGTTATTGCTTGTTTCTAATGTTATAAATTAATGCATAAGTTTTTAGTTGTCAAGCATACTTAAGCACATTAATTAAGTATTGTATTACTCATTTGGTTTCAAAATATAAGACGTTTTAGCCAATTTGAATGTTACAATAAAAAAATTTAATTTTATAATTAGGCGTTACACTATCAATATAATAGTTCTTTGTCTTCTTCCATCATCGATATACAATTAACTAAAATAGATTATTCAAACTTATTTAGTTCTAATAAAGGAGATTAAAGTAATAATGCCTACTTTGTGAGTTGTAACCTTAGCACATGTGTTTGGTAGTCTTTGATCATGATGAAATGATTAGAATTAAGCGAACAAATTTGGGGCTAACATGTGTAAGTGTAACCACTGCCTCGTACTAACATGCAAAAATTATGAAAACAAATTATTTGATCTTTTGGTTGGTGAGCTATTTTCGTGTCAACAACGACATGCTCTTTTTTTCATCACTTTTTCTTTTGCTTCTTTATTGCGCATTATTTTTATCGGAATAATTTTTATTATGTATTTGGATGCGCTTAGAATTAGGTGCTTGAATTATATATTTTTTTTCTTTAATTGATAATTTTACTATGCATCCAGGTGCATTTAGAGCAAAGATTATTATATATTTTCATATATATTAGTACCTTTTAATAAATGCACTCGAATATATGTAAGAAGCTTATTTCGTTGTCGGAACATCACACGCTTTGATATTGAAAAAATCATTCCATCAGCGTTTTGAACTAGACAAAGAAAAGAATGTTATTGTTCACCCACCATCAATAAGCATGATGTTGATGTGAAAACATAGAAATCATTTCTTTTGAAAGACTTGACACTTGAACATCTTAATGGTGGTTATTTAATTCTTAAGACTTTTTTTTAGTCAATACATTCATTTTTTTGTTTTCAATGATGTATCGATTCACATGTTAAATTTATAATTTCTTTCAAATTTTATGTATTCGACAAAGTCAAAGATTTATATAGTCAACAAAGGTCAAAGAGACCTCTAATTCTAGGCAAAGAATAGAATTGTTAAGATATGGTAATAGTTGGTACTTGGTACTAAGGTAACAATATAATTTGGTTTTTTTAAATTGTTATCATGTTATTTGAGAGTTTGTATATAATAATAGATGTCGCATGAAAGGTATGTTAAATACTTTTCGTAATTATAGCATCGTCATAAAGTTTAAGCGTGGATCTGAGTGTATAATAATATCAAGCAAATTGGATAATCATAATTAAATTGTGGGTGTTAATTGCAGACACATGGAGTTTTGAATGCAATTAGTTGGGGAATTTTAATGCCATTGGGAGCTATAATCGCAAGGTACGTGAAGGTGTTCCCATCAGCAGATCCAGCATGGTTCTACCTTCATATAACTTGCCAAATCTCTGCTTATATCATCGGAGTTGCTGGTTGGGGTACTGGTCTTAAACTTGGCAGTCAATCTGCGGGTATTGTTTACCACGTCCACCGTAACATTGGGATCGCTCTTTTCTGCCTCGCCACTCTTCAGGTTTAACTTACTTCTCTTATCTTTATTCGAATTGATATATTACATCATCTCAACCTGTTATGATTAAAGTTATACTTCGTATATGACATTAGCCGGCTAAAACACTGTTGTATAGATAAAGAGATTGTATATATAAAGAGATAGTCTTATCAGCTAAAAAATCATCTCGTAGAACTCTGCACATTAAGTAATGACATGTTAGAAAATTCAAGTACTTGTTACTCTACGTGTATGAGAATCAATATCATTTCACTTTATTGATACATTATTGATACAAAATATAGTTCAAAATTTTTATCTTTCTATCTTCTAGAGACTTGTAATGGACTATAAATATTGATACATTAGAAAATTCATGTAAGAACACGTAACATAAATTATATGGAAAGTGATGAATAATGCATAGCTTTTTTGACTAAGTTGCCACATTTATGGGGCCAGGTAGGTAAGTTAACTCAACTAACACGGTATGTTCCATAAATCATAAAATTTCAAGGTAGAGTTCGTAGGAACTTCTGACGTCTAGCTTTTAGATTGTCAATTTTGGTTTTAATGTAAATTTATGTCTTTTAATGCCGGTCCATTTTTTATTACTACTACTTGCAAAAAAATATACGAGTAAAGTTTTCTAGTCTAGATAAAACATCACCACCTAACACCCTTATTCTAGAATTACCATAGAATATCTTTCTTTTTATTTTCTTCTATTAACAATTTTATGTACAGTACATAGTATATATTGATATACTCTATTGGTTTCCAAATAAATGTCTCATTTAGCTTTGACAATTTTTTTAAACAGTAAAATAAGAAGACAATGGACTGAGGTGATTAATTTTCATTTGCAAAATTTATCAAATTACCACGGAACATAAATATGATACTTCCTTAAAAGTTAAAACAATGGCACTACAATGGAAAAAAAAGGGGTTTGAAAAAGTATCATATTGATATTGTTTAAAGTAGTACCAACTACCAAAGTCAAAGAATTCTAAGTCTACCTAACAGTCATTTTCTAACTTCAAATATTGGTTGATACGTTCTTTTGTTTCATTTTCTAAGTACTCGTATGTATCTTGGCTCAAAATCTAAGATAGAATTGATTTCTATATTCAACACTTTGGAAGCTTCTTCTTGTTGTGGACTTCTAGGACTTATATTAACTCAACAATTTAATAATCATACCATAAGACATTTTCCATGAACAATAGGAGAATTTGTTTGTGTTAGTTGACTAATATGTTCAAATCATAATAAACTTCAGATTGCGCCGTACTAGAAAACTCGTTTTTATAGTCTCTATATATTGTATAGGATATGTATGTGTACCCCCCCATGTTTTGTCCTCTCTTATTAAAAGGGGTGGACTTTGCGAATTTGATAATTTTTATATTTTTTCGAAATTTGAATAGAATTCATAAATTTTTAATACAAAAGAGGATTTTCTTGTTACTTTTTTTGTAAAACCTAAGATACTCGTCAACTTAATGTTAAATTACGACTATATATGTACAAACATCTGAACCTACTTGTCACACAATTGGGGTAGGAGAGAAATCGTTTTGACATAGTTTCGATTTCTTTGAATTTCAGGTCTTCGCCCTACTTCTAAGGCCAAACAAAGACCACAAGTACAGATTGTACTGGAAGGTCTACCATCACGGCATTGGATACATCGTGATCATCTTGAGTATCATCAACATCTACCAAGGATTCGACAAAGTGTTGATGCCAGAGAAGAAATGGAAGAGAATCTACTCAGGCATCCTCATTGCTTTGGGAGCCATCGCTCTTGTATTGGAGGCATTTACGTGGACCATCGGGTACAAGAAGAAGAAGACTGATCAACAGAAACATGGTCACCATGCTAATGGAACCAATGGATTTACTAATAGTTATGCATAGACTGCATGCTGCTGTTTTGTAAATTTTTCTATACGTTTGTTTCATCTTTAGGCTTATTATTATAGGTTGTATTATAAACTACAGATTTTGAATATTTTATTCTTCTTTTTCTTCTTTTAAATCCCTTTTGTATTATTGTTGCCAGTGAGTTATAGGGCATATTTGATTGTTTTTATTACTATGATAGTTTTGGTCCGATCCATTGCCTTTTGTGCTCTTGCACACATTTTTTTTCCTCCTCCCTCCTTTTTTTAACTTAGTGATGAGCTATTTTTATATATATGGATTAAAATTGTGCACTTTCTTTTTAAGCCATCAACCTCTCTCTAAAATTGTCAACAAATTTAATTAGATGATGTACGCATGTACCAAATTATACAGCTTGGATATTTTTTTAGTGAAGAGTGGATGTCATTTATTCTAATTGTTTAAAGTACATAGTAGAACCTATGCAAGACATGAAATCAAATTTTGTTGTGAGAATGTTTTATTAACGATAAAATAAAAAAATTAAAAAAAAAGAAGAAAACGCAAGCATTGAGCTAGACAAGTAATGGTGGTAAAATATGAAGGGACACTTGTGGTCATAGTTAGCCATGACTTTCAAACCTATTGCTCGATTTACCTTCGATTCGAGTAATGGTGGTGAATGCAAATTGTTTCAAACTAAAGGTTACCCATCTTGGGCATCAACAATAATAAAGCTCACATTTGAGCTTCAACTTTGCATGTAAAAAACCAATGAAACTTAAATTGACTTAAGAATATAAAAAACGTCTTAGGGTTTGTGATCAATTTCTAAGTTTCTAAGATTGCCTTAATTTTAAATTTAGTTGAAAATGACTTTAAATGTTTGGAGTCAAACTAAACTAACCAATGGGTTGAGGCTCTTTCTCGATTTCAATAATTTGTATTTTTCAATTACATTTTGTTTTATGTAAAAAATTTGCTAAGTGCATAGAATGTGTTCATTTTTAGTTACTTGTATAACAAAAATGTATTTTGTTTTGTCTTTAACATATTCATAGTTATTGCAAACAACTTAAATTGTTTCATATACAAGCTACTGAAAATTATTTAGTATTTAGTATGATATTATAATATTAAAATCCATCTCGAATTCCCAATAGCATGATATGTACTGCACTCACCTTTGATTCAATATTTCAACACTACCAAGATTAATAGATTTGGCCTTTTGGGAGTTGGGGGAAGCCGAAGATAGAATCTCCATCCCAAATTACCTCTAATGAGATTAGAATAAACTCTAATTACCTATAAAAAAAATTAAGCCCATAATGTTGGGCCGGGCCGGCTTTATGTCCAAAATCCGCCAAAATCCTTAATCATCTATAGGTTCTATTTGGCAAAACTAGCGGTAGCGGGTAGCTTTTAGCGGTCAAGTAGCGGGTACCTGTTAGAGTAACGAGTAGCTATTAATTAGTAGTGGGTAGAGGTTAGCTGTCAATATAGAGGGTAATAGTATCAGTGTTTGGCAAAAATAGCGATTGAAATGTTAAAATACAGTAAAAATACATGCATAATGCTTAAAAAGTAAACAAAATTTGTCAAAAGCTACCCGCTACCTTTCAAACGCTAATATATTTTTAACGTTTGACAAAAGCTGCCTAAATGCCGCTACCTCTACCACTAACCGCTTTATAAAACGGTACCTTATTGGACACACTTATTTTTTCCTACCAGTGTTTTAATTTAATCCAAATGTTAACCGCTACTTATAAAGCTACCGCCAAACAGGGCCATAACCTACGTGTAGAGGTGAGCATGGGTCGGGTACCCGTATCGTTAACACTATCGGTTCAGGTACCCGATAACCAATAACACTAAAAATGATATCCATTAACCGAACCGAAAGTTTGGGTACCCAGATTTTCGGATCGATTATTGGGTACCCAATATGATATCCAATAATGAAAATTTAGACTTTATAATATGGTTATTATGATATCATTCAAGATTAATTAACAATAATACCACATGATCATGACCAAATTACCAATAATATTACTAATCATTTAAATTATGAAGTGATTATGAAGTAAAGTAAGAGTTTAGATTTTGGATAAATAGATTTGAGTACGGAAAAAAAAAAAGAAAAAATTGCTTATCGGATCGGATCGGATCGGGTAATTGTTAATTTTAAAATGATACCCAATAACTGTACCCGATAACAAATCATCGGATCGGCTACCCAAACCATTGTGGTATCAGAACAAGTACCCTAATTTTCAGTTTGATAACAATTTGAGTTTTCGGATTTTCAAATTATTTTGGTCAGCCCTACCTACGTGGGCTTCAAATTATAGATTTCCGTGCCACAAAACTTGGACACTAATATATCTCCCCAACAAGCTTCACAAAACGAATAATAAGAATACAAAATCACAAATATAGCTTACTGTGCTTCTAGAGCTAAAGCTCGAACTAGGACAACAATGGCGGCACTTCCGACTGAGATAATCCATGAGGATAACCCACAAACACACACTTTCGACTTTGAGGAGCAAATTTATCACCCTTAGATTTTTTATTATGAGCAAAATAGAGACACCCAAACACCCATATTCATCAAAATTAGGTTGTTTGCCAAAAATAATTTCATATGGGGTTTTATTAGCTAGCAAGCGGGATGGAGTACGATTAATCAAATAAACCTCCCCAAGGACACAGTCTCCCCAAAAAGTAATTGGCAATTTACCTTGGAACATCAAAGCACGACTAACATTTAGGATATGTTGGTGTTTATGCTCTACCCGACCATTTTGTTGAGGTGTACCAATACAAGAAGTTTAAAAACAATGCCATGTTCATTAAAATAGGGTAGCATGGGTTTGAACTCCGTACCATTATCACTTCGTACACATTTCACAGTGACATCAAATTGACATTTTATCATAGCAAAGAAAGAACAAAAAGAAGAATAAACTTCAGTTTTGTCATTCAACAAATAAACCCAAACACCTCTAGAATAGTCATCAACAATAGTAAAAAAATAGTGAGCACCATAAGTAGAAGGTGTCTTATACGAACCCTATAAATCACAATGTATCATTTCAAAAATACGACTAGCTCTACTATCACTATCAGGGAAATTATCCCGTGATTGTTTAGCTTGAGTACAAATTTCACAAGCTTTATTCAAAAATTTACTACTAGAACTAGCACTAATAGCAGGCACTAACTTGACAATTTTGTCCGACGGATGTCCCGTACGACGATGCCACAACTCAAATGTAGAAACCTTTGGATTCGTCACCGCACATACTGTAGGAATTCGCCGGAAGTAGTAGAGTCCATCTATCCGTTCACCGGCTCCAATCAGGCTCCCCGAGTTTTGGTCCTGTATAGCACATAAAGAGTCAGTGAATCGGACAAAACAATGTGAATCATCAATCATTTTTGACACCGATATTAAGTTGCAATTTAATTTTGGGTACAAACAAAACATTTTCAAGAATAATGCCATTTGCCAAACACACTCGACCCTCCTTTGTAGCCATAGCATGGGCACCATCCGGAAGACCTATGGGGCATGGAGAGATAGAGTGCACATCCATCAAACAAGAGTCGTCACCGGTAACATGATGAGAGGCGCCGGTGTCGAATATCTAAGACAAGGAAAAACACTCACCGGTCATCTTATCATGTTGCCTATTATTAACCATATTCAACAACATACGAACATGCTCAGGTTCGAGCTCAGACAAAGCCGAAAGAGTGTCCGGGGAAGGCACGGAAGAGGCAACGCCAAGAGGGATGCCCACGGCATGAGCTCTGACCGTGGGCTTGCTGTGATCTACAGCAGCCGCAACAGAAGACGAGGCAGAAGTAGCGGCAGTAGCAGGTGGTTTACTACCGGGCACCGAGGCAGCCTGACCAGAAAATGTGACACCCCCCTTTTTACCATATTTTTTCAGCCACCATTGGGGGTAGCCGTGGAGTATAAAACAACCAGAGTTGTCATGACCAGTACGTTTGCAATGAGAACATAAGAGCCACGATTTATCCACAAGAGGTGTCGACTGAGCAGCCTTTCGATCAGGGGGAAGAGCGAACACATGGGCTTCGTCCTTCATCGTTTGAGCCTTGACCTTAGCAATACCTCGAGATCTTTTTTCCTGAAGAAATGCTTGAAATGCTCGATCAAGAGTAGTGAGAGGTTGTGGAGAAAGCAAATTAGTTCGTGCCATAGCGTAGCGATCATCATCAACACCAATTAAAAATTAATGCAATTTTTCTTCCTCTTTATCTAACTCATACTTGGCAGCCACGTTACAAGTGTAGAGGCCGCACTCGCACCCGTGGGGAGGTTTGACGATTGAGATCATCAAACAGCTCCATCAGAGTATTGTAATAGTCCTCGATGCTCATGGTGGTCGATTGCTTACAACTGGTGATAGCCGCACGTAATTGTTGCAAGCGAGGTCCATTAGCTTCACAGAAATGCTTCTCCAAGTATACCCAAAGTTTCTTTGCTTCCTCAAAATAGGGCATAGAGGCTGCTAATTTCGGTTCAATAGCTTTCAAAATCCAAGAATTAATCATGTTGTTTTGACTGGCTATTTTCAAGGAAAATCAGTTGAGATATTTTACTACTGGCAATCCAAAGGAACTTGTAAGAGTTTGTAATTGGATCAAGTCTTCTTATTACGTTTAAGTTGAAAATTATTTTACTGGAAATTATTCTTGTGATTAAATTGATTAAAGAAATGTTTTGGAAAATAAATATCTTGGATACCTTATTTTACAAAACGTTTTCTTTTTCTCCAAGCATTGATTTAAGCACTCCGTATAATTTCTCTCCAAGAAAACAGTTTTCAAATGCTTACCCATATGTCACGTTCATCAATTCCTCCCACGTTCTCCACTATACTGATATTGGTTGTTCCTAAAGTTTAGGAACACTAATTGTTAGTTGTAGAGAACATGGAGGAAGTGGGTATGCTTGGGTACGTTATAAATAAGAGGCTTTGTTTTCACTTTCAGATTGTCTGACCTTAGAGAGTCTTTCCAAACAGGTCTAGCTTTAGTGAGTCATTTCAAATGGGTCTAACTTAAGTTGAAAAGATATTCATATAATATATTTTGTTTTCACGTAAGTAAGTACCACAAGTTCCTAGTTTCCAAAAGTTCCAAGTTCCTAATTGTTCTTGAGTTTCTATGTATTAAAGTTAAATATATTATTGAGTTGCAATTTGAGAAAAAGGTTGAGTTATCTTTTGTAGAGACTTAAAATTGAGTTTTCGGGATTGAAGCTATAGTGAACATTTGGGGTATATTTAGATTTTAAAGGAACTTAAATTCTTATCGAGTTCCTATAGGTTGTAACAGTATTGCCTATATAGTGAAGTCGATTTTGAAAATCCCAAGTGGTCGTGGTTTTTCTTCTTATTGGGCGTAAGAAGTTTCCACGCAAAAATCTCTCTTATACTTTTATTTGATCCATAGCATTAAACGCTTTTAATTTCCGCAAAATGTTGGAACACTAGTTCCTACACAATTCACCCACCTCTTGTGTGCTCCATCCAAACAACAAGGATGTAAAAATAATCTATCTTATCAGATTCCTCTCTGTTTCTTCTCTTGTGCCTAAACCAATTATTCTCTTAATATACTTTGATACTTGATTCTTATGAGAGTGGACCCTTTGCGTAATCACATTTTTGTAGAAATAATTACAGAGTTACATGACTGCATATTAATTTTTTCATCACATTTCTTTTGAGTTGATTTAATTTGGTAATTAGTACTTAAATCTATGTTTCTTGTTCAATCTGAAGTAACTCTAGTATACATCTTTGCCAAGTGCACGTGTTGGCTGTGGCCGTTTACAAGCAGTACCCAAATTTGAAAGTGGCTATTGGACCGCGGATAGGATCAATGCAGAATTGTTTATCGATCAAATTCTTCTTTGTAGTACCTTACTAGTTAAGTTTAAAAACTGTTAACTCAAGGTTCATAGTACAGAATTAAATCCTTACAATTTCATCGTCTGTAAATAATTGAAGGGTTGTGGATGAGTGCTATGGTGAATTGTTGATAAAGGAATTGTATATCCGTGTTAAATTGTTAATGCATGACATATATTATACGTGTAAGAAAATAACACAAAGAGAACTGTTACTAATTTTTTTTTTTTTTTTTTTTTTTTGGGGAAAATGAAATGTTATTAGAAGTTATTGCAGTCCCTTGAAAAAAAAAAGTAGAATGGGTAATCATTGATGTATTTTTTTTTAAGTTTAAAAAATAAACAAATGAAGTAGTGACAGGGGTCGTTATTGGTATTTAAAAATAAAAATAAATAAAATAAAATAATAATAATAATAAAATGAATGAGACTCGAGTATTGGGGATTTGGAAGGATGTGGTGAATTGACTCTTAAATTATATAAAAATGATATCATGCCATTTTAAAAAGATTACTAATCATTGAGCAATCCTTTTTTTTTTTAGTTATGGTGATTATTATGTGTTAGATGCATCTTGTTCAATGCAATATGTAGTCCTTGTGAGTTATTATTGATTCATTTATTTTCCTGTTTGTATACTTGTAGAAGATGAATGATGGGCCTCTTGTTAGGAAACATCGAAGAGGGTTCGAGGATGATGGTTATGGGGGTGGGGAAGTGAGAGTTGGTGGTTTCGAGGGTGGGGGAAAGGGAGGGGACAGTTATGGGGTGAATTTTGCCTGGGTAGGGGGCAGTTTGAGGGGTGAGGGAAGAAAAGGGTTTGTTACGAGGTGGGGGAAGCGAGGGTAGGTGGTGTCTGAGGGAAGAGAGATGGGCTGGTTTCGAGGGTGGAGCTGGGGAGAGGGGCCATTTTTGGTGGTGAGGTTGGGGAGAGGGTGGTTTTGAGGGGTGGGGTTGGGGAAGAGGTTTGCAGCCAACAGTGGCTGGTGGTTAGTGGGGATTTAGGTTTTTATTGGGTTTTTTTTGGACTAAAAGTATGATGTCACGTATTCAGTGACCTGTTGTGAGATAGGTTTACTAACTTGTTAGCCTGTTAGGCCTAATAAAAGCAAATATCTCTTAAGCTTGAATTTCAATACTAATGCAAAGTAGGGATTTTTAAAGCAAACTTTTTCAATTATTTAATTCAACAGAAATAATTTAAAGGATTTTTTTGACTTATAACACCACAAAATTATTAAAAAAAATTATTATAACACCATAAAATCTAAAATTTTTAGGGAAATTCTCTTTGGTAACACTCAAAATTTTCATTTTCTCTTTGGTAAATTGCAAAAATTTCAATTCTCTTTGGTAATCTTGTATTATTGATTGCCATTGATAAGTGCTATTTTAATAAAAATCTTTAACTATAGTTAGTTTTTTTTTTAATTTTTTTTAATAATTAAATTGTTATAAAAATATTTTTTTTTTTTTAAAAAACACCATACTCCTCCCCCACCCCACCTAGCCACCATCAGCCCTCCCCCTGCGAGCGGTTAGGCACCCCACCCTCGGGCGGTGACGCCCAGCCTCCTCCGCTCTCACCTCCTCTCTTTCCACCACCCCGACCCCTCCCATTCCCCTCAACATACCCACGCTCAGTCCTCTGTACTCTTTAACAACAAACCATGAACACCTTTGTCTCTCCTCCAACCTTGAGCAACAAACTCCATTTTCCCCCAATTTCGCCATCTTCAAACCCTAATTTCCTCTTCTTCTCCAATCTTTCTCTCTCCTTCGCTTAATTCGCTTTTTTTTTTTTGCCATCGCCATTGTTCATCTTTCTTTTTCTCATGGTTGGGGCCAACCATTTGCTGGTGTTGTACAGGTCATTGATCTTTGATATCTCCGAATTAATTTTCTGTATTTCAGATTTCTTTTTTCTTCTTAAAATTATCTTGATTTTCTTACAATTTTAACAATTCTGCAGGTTTCAGTTACTTGATTAATTTTGTGTAAGTCCTGTTTCTATTTTTGCATATGTGGTACTTACATGATGGTTAGTGCTTTTCTGATATGTCTGCTGTACTGTAGACTTTAGAGTGCAATTGCCATATCCCCAATTTGACCTATATAAATGATCATTATGGATGGTGCAAATAAATAACAGGTGCAAATAATAATGAAGAGATTAGTGGTTGGTTAGTAGGAGAAACTCGAGCAACACTTGTAGAAATACATGAATTGTATTGTCAACATGCTGCTGCAGTTGGTTTTAGTGTTAGAAAAGCAAAACAAACAAGCAAAGCCGAAACTAAAGATATTATCACCAAAAAGTTCTTTGTATGCTCTGCAGCTGGACTAAGAAATTCAGGTAAAAAGAAGGAAAAAATTCCAGAACTCTTGACAGAGGAAAGTTCTTCAGTTTAAAAAAAAAAACAAGACAAAGTAGGAGAGTTCCAATAACAAGGACAAACTGTAATGCTTTGATAATAGCCAAATTGAATGAGGAGGGGCAATTTGAGATAGTTCAGCATGTGTTGGTGCACAATCATCCACTCCTAGACCACAATGGAACCATTTCCATCATTCAGAGCGTGCAATGACTGAAATTAAAGGGCAAGCGATTGAGGCCATGCAAGAATCTGGACTAAGACCTATGGAATCCTTTAATTACATGTCAAATGAAGCTGGAGGAGAAGATTCTATTGGTCATACAGTGAAAGACCACATGAATTATTGTTATAAACTGAAAATAAAGGTCATTGAAGGAGGAGATTCTCAAGTAGTTTGTGACAAATTACAGGAAGCTTATTCTGAAGACCCTAACTTCTTTTTCAGAGAAGGTTGGACGCTGATGGAAGGGTTTGTAACTTTTTTTGGAGGGATTCTATGATGCTTGAAGATTACAAAATATATGGGAATGTCACTGTGACACCACATATAGGACGTACGAATCGTTATAACCTCATTTGCACACCCTTTGTAGGAATAAACAACCACTGGAAGAACACTATGTTTGCTTGCTCTTTTATTGGTGATGAGACCATAGAGTCATTTGTGTGGCTATTTGAGACCTTCAAAAAGGCAATGGGTGGTAAATGTCCTGTCTCACTGTTTACAGACCAAGATGTAGCCATGGCAGCAGCAATACCCAAGGTAATTTCTAATTTTGAAGGAACTTTTTGAATACTACTACATCTAAATATGTTTATACTGAAATTATATTTAGTTACCTCTATTTTAAATGCAGTAACCATTTGTGAAACTATAGTAACTGTATAAAAATGTACAGTTATTTCCAAACACTAGACATAGACTATGTCTATGGCATTTGATTCAAAATGCTGTAACAAGATTTGGAGTTTTGAAGAGTGATGACACATTCAAAGCTGCTTTCACGAAATGCTTGAGTGGTTGTATTAACGAAGCTCAGTTTGAAGTATGTTAGGATTCAATGATGACAAAGTACAAGTTGAAAAACGACAGTTGGTTCAAGAGGTTATACTCACTAAAGCATAAGTGGTAAACAACTCTAAGTAAGGACTTTTTCTCCGCGGGAACCTTGTCGTCACAGAAAAGTGAGAGCACAAATCACGCAGTGGGATTCAAAGCAAACAAGAAGACAAGTTTGACAGAATTCTACAGCATATTTCAAAAGACAGTGAAGACTTGGAGAAGGAATGAGGATTTTTATGAGTTCAATAGCAAAAAATCAATTCCTACTTCAAGTTATCCGATGTCTACCTTACTTAAACATGCTGCTGAGGTTTATACACATACATTATTTAGGGACTTTGAAGAAGAATTCAACCTAGCCATTGAATCTCAAACTAAACTGCTATTGATTAATGGAGGCAAAATGGTTTACCAAGTGTACCTTAAAGGCAGAGATGGCACAACTCAAGCAGTAACTTATGATCCAGCAAACCAAACAATTCAATGTCCATGCAAGAATTTTGAAGAGTCGGGTTGGTTATGCTTCCATACCTTTAGAATCTTGCACATGCATTCTGTTGAAAAAATCCCAGAGTAATACATATTTTTCAGATGGAATAAAATGGCTAAGGTTGAAGTTTGGAGAAGTAAGGAGGCAGAGCAAAAGAAGAAGGGGACATTAAACAACTTCGCACCCTAGCGGCTACACATGGTGAGGAAGTATTATAGTCTAATCCTTAAGAGCCACAAGTTTGAACAAGCAAGGAAAGTCTTAGAAGAAAGCTTCACAAAAGATTCAAGTGCAATAGATAAGATTATTTCTGCTATAAACTCAACTAACAACCATTCTGAGAACATTACAGGTGTAGAAGAGAATTCAGAAGCAACTTCATCTAGTGTTGTTCAAGTACTGGACCCAGCTCGTGCAAAAACTAAAGGAAGACAATCAAATAAAAGGATTCCAGGAAGCTATGACTACATGAAAAAGGGGAAGAGGAGGAAGCATAGAGAATTTGGTGCTAAAACACCAAATATTAATAATAAGTATATGCTCTGATAGTCTAAAGACATCAAATTTTGTCTTAAGAACACCAAATTTTGTCATAGTAACCTGTATTGTTACATGGTTACGTTTTATTTGTAATTTCATTTTTGAAAACTTTATATCTTTTAAATACTGATTATTATGATATAGTGTCTTTTATGATTGACATAGTAACCTTTAATTTGGAGATATAAATTTTTGGAATAGTAACCTTTTTTTCACAATATAGTGATCTTTATTCCTAAATAGTAATCTTTATTTCATACCCTTATATTGTTAGTTTTTCACCATTAATTAACATATAGTCCATAATTTTGACATAGTTACCTTTATATTTAGAATAGTAACCTTATTAATAAAATAGTTACTTTATTTTAACATATAGTGACCTACGATAATTACCATTAATTTAACATAGTTCTTAATTTTGACACTATACAATATTGAAAACGAAGTGACCTTTTTTAACCAAACAAAGACCTTATAAATAATATAGTGACTTTATTTTAACATATAGTGACTTATGAAAATATAGTGACATTTCATCGTAAACCTTTTCAATATATATTTAACCTCTAATATTAACATAGTTACCTTTATTATCACATAAAGACCTTTATAAAGATAAGTTTAAAATAGCATTTCACATTAACATAGTCACTCGTATGTTATATAGAGACCTTTTATTTTAATAACAGAGTACATTAATGATTGAATTAAACAAACAATATACCATTTTCATAAAATGTTGGCAAATGCTTGTTTACACAAAATGAATATTTTTCCAATATTCAATAACCTACACAAAAGTTGAATTAATACTAATTAGCTATACAATGTTCAAAGTACTTTGCTTAGCATCAGAAAATTATGATCACAACTAAGTCAAAAAAATCAGTTACACAATGTTCTGACATCTTAAGCCTTCCCCTTTCCTTTCTTCTTTTTGTCTTCAGTCGGCTTATTCTTATTCTTCCTCTCTTCAATCTCTTTCTTCCTTCTTTCTTCAACCTCTTATGGAAGACGTACGCTACCTATCAGGTTTTAATTCAGCCACCTTACCAATTATAATTGATCTAGCTTCATTCATATCAGTTAACACCAAAGATGCATCAATTTGAATCCGGAGAATCTTCCTATTTGAAGCATAAAAAAGTAAGTAATCAATATAAGATATTGTGATATTAATAAAAAGAAGTAAAACAAATAATTTAAAAGGGGAAGAATCATAACTGTTTTTACAATTTCACATTTAAACTCATCAGCTCCATTGAATAAAAGCATGCTCATTATAATATAAACACCAGAATCTGAATTATCTTTGCTAGATCTCCAATTCAAAGTAGGAAACTCTAAATCGTAGTCAACCATAGCTCCAGATTGAGTAAGCCTTTGATCAAAGAAGGTATCGATCATATCACACTAGCAAAAAAGCCGCATATAATCAAATCACAGTCGCATTAAATGATCTATTAAGAGTCATTATAACAACCATGCTGCAACTTTATGTTCACTATCAGCTACAATGTTGCCTAACAAAGTTTAGACCACACAAAATGCATATCAAGATCAAGAGAGATTAGATCCTAATAACAGATCAGATGATATCCATATTCCTACTATCACAACAGGAAGCATCACAACAGCTACAAAAGCAATGCGATAGCAAAAAGAAAGGGTCTTACAAAGATGATAAAAAAGTGATTTAAACATTTATAAAAAGTTGGTTTCTTGCTGCAAGTTCTATCTATTCATCAATGTGTAACAAAATTCTAAACAACCGTAAAATTCTACAAGATCAGCAACAAATAAAAACAAAAATGCTCGGAATAAACTCCAAAACACCAAACAAGAAAAGAGTGAGACTATTTGGTTCCCTATAAACAAGTCAATACAAACAATAAACAATAAACTTAGTTGTGAAAATATGGAAGAGTAAGAAAGTAATACTAGGAGACTAGACAACTTTTTCAAAAAGATACGATTATCCTCATCATAATTCAGATTATCAATAAACTGAATTTTTTCTTTAGTCAAATTCACCACAAATAAGCAATAGTGATTTCCCCAAAGACAAGGTAAAAATATCTGCAACAATAATACCACCATTAGTCAGAATAAAAAAAACACATATAGATTCCATTTTTGATATTATAGTGACCTCTTTTAAAAATATACTTATGCAATTTTCAATAGTCACTCTCATTTAAAAAAAGGGTATCTATAACATAAAAAAAAGGATCTATATTTTTCAAAGCATAAAAAAACAGAAAGTATTACCAGCTCCACTTCTGACAAATCAAAATCATTGCAAGCTATTTTCATCCACTCCTCCAAACCTTGATAAACAATGTCCATTAATTGTGAATTGCCATCACTGTCGGCAACTTCTACTATTGTAACCTTATATTTTAACAAATAAAAAAAAGTAAAAAGTATAAACATGTATAAATATTTAAATAATTAAACAACTCACACTAATTGAAGAACCAAAGTACAATTTCCGAGGTCCATCCTTTAAATATTTCTGATTTTCATTGAGAAGCAATGCCAAGCAATCCAAAATACTACTGCTCATGATTTCAGAAGGCTCTCCTAATGGGTAGAATTCTTGCCTTTGAATCAAATGCTTTTCGTGAAAAAATACCAACAGTTCACTGAGTCAAAGAGTATAAATAAGAATTAAAAAGGTGTTTCATAAATAAATAAATAAGAGAAAATCAATGTAATCAAACAAAAGATTACTTACTTAGGATCCAAACAAGAATCATTGATAATACAATAGTCAACAATCTCCAGGACTAATGGATCCAATAGTTTCATTTCCTTGTTATTTGACTTCAAAAAGTGTGAAATGAGTATAAGCTTTTCATCAAATTTCCAATCCAAAGAAAAAAAACACCTGGACCCTCCATTTGCAAGAATATTTTCAAAGCCAATCACAGGCAAAGTGCCTCTAATTGCCTCCCTCCCTCCATTTGTTTTGTTGTGGTCAAATGTAGAAATTTGATCCAACACCTCGGGTAATTTTGTCACCCAAATAGCAAGTCCGGAGATCTCGTCAATCACAGATTAAACTCGAGGATCCATAAAAAACGATTCATTCTGGGACAAATTAATACCAGGAGAGTTGTTGGCCTCACCACGTGAAAGAAGAATCTCTTTTATCTTGTCATTGTAAAAACAAGAGATCACATGCATATCTCTTTTCATGAACAAAAATTGCTCATGAACAGGCTACAAAAACATTAAAAAACATGTATAAACATTTAAATCAAATCCAATAATAAAAATAATAATATAGAATAAAAGTCAGTTACTCCTTACATCAATAGCAGCCGAATGGATCTCTTGATCTGACATCGAACATGGTGGGAGAATGAATTGTATTGTACCCTGGGTATCAGGCACATCAACACTCCCCCCAACATTCCTCACAACATTATCACTCCCCCCAACATTCCCCATACTTTCCCCTACAGTATCCACAACATGTCCATCCAGAAACTTCAGTTTACCACTAACAGGATACACATCAGAGAGTAAAATCCCACACCCAAAACTTTTGGACAATTTTTCCTTTTTAATTATATTTTTAATCAACTCATCATTCCAATGTTGAATTAAGGGTAAAGAAGTACTTAATTCAACATTCCTAAATTACAACCTATGGAAGTAAATAATCTCCAACATCAAAATACAACCACAACAGTTCTGAATTTCTGCTTTTTTGTAACTTTTAACACGTTCACACAATCTTTCAAGAACATATTTACACCAATTCAAATTCTTAATTTGTTCAACATCATCAAGTGCCTTGACAATCCTAAGATCAGCGCATCTGTTAGAAGTAGGAGCTAAAAATGTGGATATTGCATGCATAACAAAGAGTTGCTTAAACTCATCTAACCTTGACCTAAAGTTGGTATCCTAGCTTCTTACAAATTAAGTGGAATTTGATCATTTTCATCTGTCAACCCAAAATGCAATCTCCAATTATGTTTGAAAACAAAGTCTGGATTATTTTTATTAGCATATCTAGGTATCTCCTAAACATTTTTGGGGTTCAAAGGAAGGCAAAACACGTCATACACATCATACTCAGTCACCACAAACTACTTATTATTATTGATTGAAAACATGCAGCTACCACAATCAAAAGAATCAATTAGCCACCTGTACATACTAGTAGGATTCCTTTTCAACTTCAATGATAACAACCCTCCAAAACCGATTTCATTTACAGAATTGTTTTGATCAAGAGTAAAGTTAGACATCATGTCAACCAAATGCAAAGGCCTACATTTAGTTTTAAATGGCCGCAATCTGCACAATAGAAATAATAATGCTATCAACATTAAATCAACATCAATTTAACAAATCAAAAAATCAATGCAGTCTGACAAGTTCAAATTAGTGGCCAATAATTAAAGGTCAAAGAAGCACAACTTAACCACAATCCAGTCCTAAATTTGCATAGTCACACCAACATACATGTTGAATCTAACTTTTTGAGAGCACTCCAAAGTAAATAAAGTTACTTACGTAGGAACATCACCACCAGCTTCACCAGCTTCAACTATTGATTTCTTCGTTCTTGTCCTTGGCTTCTTAGGACGAACAAGAGCAGTAGCTTCAGCTTCAGTTTCATCTTCATGAGTTCTTTTACGACGAGATGAAGGTGAACCAATTCCAGAAACTTGATGCTCAAGAACATCTTCATGAACCTCTATAGCAACACTCTTTTTCTTGTTAGCTCTAGTTTTCTTCTTCAAGCCTTTGGCACCATTATTATACAAAAGAAATCAAAATGTAAATTATAGTGACCTTTTTGAAACAATAATGACCAGAAAATTTAAGACCAGAGAATCACAGGAATCAACCCTAAAAAACAGAACCATTACAAATTAAATAATGCAGGCCAGTAACCAAAGTATCCAAGCTCGAAAATCCGGTAAACTTCATTCAAACAGCAGAGACAGAAAAACTAATGAATTAACAGCGAAAACATCATCGAGCACAAATCATCATCGAGTACAAAACATCATTGAGTACAAATAATCATCAAGTACTGAAACTAAACTCAAAATCAATAAATCAACAACGAAAACAACTAAATCATGAAAAAAATAAAAATCAATCAAAATTCAACGAGAAAACAAACAGCTAAACAATTGAAACAAAATTTAATCGCACATTTATTGTGGTTTTATGTGTTCAATCGAACAATAAACATAGAAAACAACCGAACATAGTCTTCAAATAATCTTCAATACGAAACAAAATTCAAACAAAAATTCAAGCAAATAGTTTCAATTAAAGAAAAACAACAATTAATCAGCTCAAAATTGCAGAAATCAAATGATAAACAAAGATTATACCAGAAGGTGGTTGATCTACTTTTGTAGCTGAAGAACGAAGGCCTCTTCTCCGGTGAAATGTGCCACCACCTCGAGTTCTTGCCATTGAAGAAGAATTCGAGCAATTTAACATAAATGGCAAAGCTGATTTTGAAGAGCGAGAAAATGGAAGAAGGGAAGCTTGGAAGAGAGAGAAAGTGTAAGCCAAGGTGCGTTTTTGCGAAAAGAAAGAAAGGGGAATAAATAAATGGTTGTATTTATTTGTAAGGAGCTGGTAGAAGGGGAAGTAAGCTGGTGGTAGTAGCTGGCACGTGACATTTCTATTCCACAATAAATTTATTGTGAACCAGGTTTATTTAAGAATTTGTCTCAAACTTATGCAAGATTTAGGGATATGCATAACCGTTGTATAATTTGATCATGATATCTTGATTTTATCAAACTTTATTCGCATTTAATATGCTACAGAGTAATATATTACTCAAAATACAATTAAGTGGGATTTTGTTATATTCGCCGCCTCAAAGTGTAATTTAATTTTCATATATTAAACTATTACTCCATCCGTTTTTTTAAATTGAATCACTTTACAAGTTGTGGACTCCTACACAATTTTTGGAGATTAGAGAGATAACGAATAATAAAAATGGAGCCATGTGATAGGAGAGAGATAGAGAGAGTTTATTAACTAAAAAGAACAGTGATGCAACTAATTTAAAACTTCCATTTTAGGAAAGTGATTGAACTAAAAAGAAACGGAGGAAGTATAATTTTTATTTATTTTTATGAATGCAATACCAAATATCTCTGGAAATAAGCAAAAGGGAATAAAAAGTTGTGATCATTTTCCGTTTGAATTTTTATTACCTCCTTTTATTTTTATAGGGGTACTAGGTTTAGATTTCGTGCATGCACGAATATTAATAAGATCTATTTCTACAACTAATTCAAAATATTTTATTATAATAAAAAAAATGCTATCAAAACAATTGGCTTATGATTATGTCTCACAATTTGTACTTGAAAAAATAAAAGGAAATTTTGCAAAATACCACCTTTTATAAGAAATTTTTTACAAGAAACCACCTTATAATTTTTTTTTTGCAATGACATACCTTAATCAATTTTTTTTATTTTTATTTTTTATTTTTTATTTTTTACAATGACACACCTTTGGCCGGAAAAGAGGGTTTGACCCTGTTTCCCGGTGTTGACCCGACCATGTGCGAGGCACTTGACCTCTTAAAACCACTCTCCAACTACTCCACCCACTAGAACGCCCACCCACCCTAGCCACCAAAACTGCCTTACCCACCCCACCACCACCAGATCTTGACATTCACCTCTTACCCACCCCACCATAACCACCAAAAACCCACACCGACGCTATCCAAACCTCGTAAACTACCGTCTTCAACCTTAGCTACCTCATAAACAACCACCAATCAAACTACCTCCATCAACAAAAACAACCGAAAACCACCAACAATATCAACACCACCACCGCCATAAACCTCAACACCAACAACAAAAACAACCGACACCTACACATAATAAAATAAAAATAAAATAAAAAACCCATTAACCTTAAAATATGAACAGGAATTGACAAATTAGTACCTTTATTATCATCAATTATGATTTTATTTGGTCAAATTTGACATAAAAATCTAGATCTAGAGTTTTCATGGTCAAATTTGACCATAAAAAATTTCAGAGCTTTAGTAGAACGGATGAAACAAATTAAAAAGGGAGGAGAGAGAAGGGGAGGTGGTGGCAAGGAGAAGGCAGCGATAGCGTCAAAGAGAAGGGGCGACGATTGAAAATAATTTGGGTAAATTTAGAGGAGAGAGAGAGAGATCAGAGAGAGAGGTTATAAGAGGTCACGTGCCTCGTATGTGGTCGAAGTCAACGTCGGAAAATAGGGTCAAACCCTCTTTTATGGCCAAAGGTGTGTCATTGCAAAAAAAATTTGATTAAGGTATGTCATTACAAAAAAAGAATTTATAAGGTGATTTCTTGCAAAAAATTACTCATAAAAGGTGGTTTTTTGCAAAATTTTCAAAATAAAATTAATTGAATAAGTAATTGTATACACATAAAAAATTATAGTTCTCAAATTGATACTTAGTTTTTTTGAGAGAAAATGGTACTTAGTTTATACATTATTTTTTTTTCTGTTAAGTTGATTAAGACTTTTTATAAATGTTTATTTGTAGGAAATTATTTTTCCATAACTTTAGATTTGTTTTAATAATATAATTGAGTTCCTTATTGTTGATAATTTATAAATTAGACATGGACATGTTTTCTTTTATTTACTAAACTAAAATATATTATTAGATTCAATGACAAGGATGGTAATTTAAGATATGTCAGATTTAGTAACAATTAAAATAAAAGAATAAAATTGGAAAACAAAAAATTGGAGGGAAAACTTTTTATCAGAGAGTGACATGTGTCATAAAAGGTGTTGCCTTTAGTATAAGTTTATTGATTGATTATTTGTGAGACATAGAATATTCACTTGTTGCAACTAAAACGAAACAGAGGTAGTAACTAGTTTGGCCTAGTAATTTTTTTTATAGTAAGTATAAGTCGAAAAGAATAAAGCCAAATTAGCATCTGCGCAATTAGATGATAGTTGAGTACCTTCCGTGTTTTAATAAGTGTTACATTTACCAAATACGGCTATGTTTTATTAAGTGTTACTCCCTCCGTTTTTAAATACTTGCTCCATTTCTATTTTTTGCACTATTCATTTATCATACTTTGACTAATGTTTGTTATTTATACGTTAGAAAAAATATAGTCTTGTAGGTACTTGTTGGAATCGTCTCAATGAATAGATTATTGATTTTCAATTGTTAGAATTTATACTTATTAATAATTAAAGATATAATTGATCAAAGATTTGCATCGACATATGTGTCAAAGAGAAATGGAGCAAGTATTTAAAAACGGATGGAGTTTAATAAGTGTTGCAATTCCTTGTTTGGCAAAAAACTATATTTTAATATTATATCTTTCTCTTTTCATGGTCCCCACCTAAACCCACTGCTGTTTTTCTTTTTTTTTTTTTTTTTTTTTTTTTTTTTTTTTTTGATTCCTTGCTCTCATATTCGTTACTTTTTGATAAGCTATTAACCCTACTGTCTTTCTTTTACAATTTTTTAATACTCCAATTACCCTACTTACCTCTTATTTCGTTTAAGTCAATTAAATTGTTTAAAATTATGCGTCGGTCAAATTGTAACACTTATTATAACATAGAGGGAGTAGTATTGATCAAACCATTGATGACGAGTCTTTTCTTGGCTTAATAAAAAATGGTCAAAAGACCAAGTCTTTCTTTGGGTTAGTTGATATCAAATTTCTCATAATTTCTACAACTCCTTTGCCACTATCTTACCAATAAAATTGACTTGAATTTGTTTGCTCTAGGTTTCTTCACATTATAGTCATCACTGGTGTTGCCATCAACTAAAATGGTTACAGATACACAAATGAAATGTATTTTGTACTTGTCAAACTAAGAAAATGTCACGTAAATGAGTCTAAGGATGAAAAGATGGCTCTAAATTTGGTATGACTTTTCTCTTTGATGGATTTGCTGCACAGAAAGTCAGGAATACATCACTTTCCAAGTTTATAACATCTAGTTAAGTGGATGGTACTTGATACTTTATTTGCTGATCACTTGACACCAAAAACTTTTGCATCAAATACAAAATTCACAGCATGAGGTTTTTGCTTCATGATCAACTCTTGCTTTGTTTGATATTATCACAGTTATCTCTTGTTGTTATCCTTAAAAATTCCTTTTCTTTACCCTTAGCACAACGACCCCTTTGCCATGACTCCGAGAAGTTAGCATTGCTGCATTTCAAGCAGAGTTTCCTCCTAGACTGTCTTTCTGATGAACATTCTATTCCTTCTTATCCTAAGGTGACATTATGGGGATCTTATGATGCTGATGAAACTGGAGATTGTTGTACGTGGGATGGTGTTGAGTGTGATCAGGAGACGGGTCATGTCACTGAGCTTGATCTGAGTAGGAGCTGCCTTTTTGGCTCCTTCCCTCCTAATAGCACACTCTTCAGCCTTACTCAGCTTAAGAAGCTTAATCTAGCTTATAATGACTTCAACTTCTCTCAAATTCCAACTTCAATTGGTCGGCTGGATCAGTTGAGACACCTTAATCTCTCTCAATCAGCATTCAGTGGCCAAGTTTCAAATTTGTCCAGGCTTACTCACCTTGATCTTTCTCATAATGGTGACAGGTTAGGTAGTACTCAGCTTAATCTTAAGCTTTATAATCCTAATCTGCATAAGCTGGTTCAGAATTTAACAAGATTAAACCAACTATTTCTTGATTGGGTTGACGTATCCTCTACTTTTCCAATTTCCTTGACTAATCTAACTTCTTTAAAAGCCGTTTCTCTTATGTTCTGCAATTTATATGGTGAACTTCCAGCTAGTTTTTTTCATCTGCCAAATCTTGAAGTACTTGTTCTGAGTTCTAACAGGAAAATAACTGGACATCTTCCTGAGTTTCGATCAAGCACCCACCCTCTTAAAATTCTGGACCTTTCTGCCACTGCTTTATCTGGAGAGTTGCCGTCTTCCATTAGAAATTTTGGTTCCTTAGAGAGACTGAGGTCATTTCTCTGGAAAAATTCCATCTTCACTTGGTAATCTCACAAAACTCACTCAATTGTCTCTTAGTGTCAACAATTTTGAAGGTGACATACCGGCCTCTGTCAGAAATTTAACTCAACTTCGTGTGCTTGGCATTGCGAGTCTCAAGCTGAAAACTGGAGACTTGCGCTCCTGGTTGCCTAAGCTCAAAGAACTGACCGCCTTAGGCCTAGGTCGCATTTCTGTCTTAAACTCCATCAATAATGATCTGTCCTTTCTTGCTAATCTCACTAAGCTTTCATATCTCAACGTTTTTGAAAACCAATTAACAGGTCCAATCCCACACTGGCTTGTCAATATGACCCAATTAGCTTGGCTTCACCTGGGAGAAAATCATTTACAGGGTCCAATTCCACAATGGTTTTCCCACCTTTCCAATTTGCGCTCTTTAAGTTTATCTCACAATAATTTGTCTGGAAACTTTGATGTACTTTTCAAGCTCAAAAATCTCCGCTCTCTAGACTTTTCCGGTGCTAGCATAACTTTTACTTCTAATGCAAGCATCAACTCATCTTTTCTTAGTAAACAGTTTAATATTTTGTACCTTGACTCATGCAATTTGACCGAATTTCCTCAATTCCTTCGTAACCAGGATTCTTTCTCTTAGTGGGAACAACATCAGGGGTACTATACCACAGTGGTTTATGAACGTATCTCAACAAATTCTCTTGCAACTTGACCTGTCTAAAAACTTCTTGACAAGTTTTGAACAGTCTTTGCTGGTTCTTCCATGGAGCAGTTTGAAGTTCCTAGATCTCTCAAGTAACAGGTTGAAAGGGCTATTACCTTGTCCATCAACTTTCACACAGATTGATCTAGTTTCAGATAATCAGTTCACTGGTGTAATTCCCCAACGATTATGCTCTATCACTTCTCTTACTTTCCTTGATTTATCTGACAACAAACTGAGTGGTCAAATCCCTCCTTGTTTAGCTAAGCTCTTTGGTAGCTCACTATTAGCTCTGAATATGAAAGGCAATAATTTAAGGGGTGCTATTTCTCCAAGATTTACTAGCTCATGCAAATTGCAGATGATTAACTTAAGTGAAAATCAATTGGAGGGTAAGCTCCCAAAGTCATTGACCAACTGTAAGATGCTCGAGGTACTTGATGTAGGCATAAATCGTTTGAATGATACTTTTCCGTATTGGCTAAGAAGGAATTCCAAGTTGCAAGTACTTGTAGTGAGGCTTAATTATTTTCATGGCCAAATACTAAGTCCGACATCAAGCCATGATTTTCCGAGATTGCATGTTCTGGACTTGTCTTACAATCATCACACTGGTACTTTACCATTTGATTATCTTCAAAGTTGGGTAGTGCAGAGAAATTCAGATGAAGACCAATGGGATTCATCCAGCGTCATAATAACTTCATATACTTCTGTGGTTGATATCATTTATTTTAAGAACCAGATATACAATTACTCCATCACCATTATGAACAAAGGCAGTGAAAGATTTTACTCAAAGATATTGAATGCCTTCCAATCAATTGATTTTTCGAGCAACAATTTTACAGGCCAGATTCCACAGTTTATTGGAGATATCATGGGGCTTCGACACTCAACTTGTCCAATAACAATCTTGATGGAAACATTCCAGCATCACTTGCCAACATAAGGGCCATTGAGTCCTTGGACCTTTCACAGAACAAGCTTTCAGGGAAAATACCTCAAGAACTAAATGAATTAACATCTCTTGAGGTCTTTGATGTATCTTATAATCACCTTACTGGTCCAATACCTCAAGGGAAACAGTTCAATACTTTCGAAAGGAGCTCTTATGAAGGAAACTTGGGATTATGTGGAAGTCCATTGTCCAAAAAGTGTGGAAACTCGAACGCAGTGTCTTCTCTGGTGCCTGAGATGGATCATACAAGTGAAGATCAGGAGACACCGTTAACTGATTAGGCTCTCAGGCTGCTTAAGTGGTCTTGTAGTTGGGTTTGTTATTGGACAATACTGCATCACAGACAGGTATCATCAGTGGTTCATGCAGACTTTCGGAAGAATGAGATGGAGAGCCCCATTAAACAGGAGGTAATGTTAGTTGCTTTACCATGCCAGCTTTAGTTTGTATTCTCTTTTTCTTTCTCCTTCACTACTACTGTATTAAATAAGTTGATAGTGATCAAAGTTTCTTTTCTTATACAAATTTTCATAGGCGATTTAACATATTTTGATCTATTACTTTTTATGCTGTAACAAGACTACTAGTGAATGTATCATGCAAAATATAATGAAACAGAGTAGTCTACTAGTTTATATGATGAATGTATCATATTGTATTATGTTTGTAAAAATAATAAATGCTTATTTGTTATTGCACTTTCCTTGATTCATCTGAATTATAATAACTTACTGTGCTAGAGTAAAACGGCGCCCCTTGATGGTGGGAGTTCTTTTGATGATGCACTGAATTGCTGGTTTAAATTATGGTGAAAACAGGTCATAGTAGCTAGGTATCTAGGAATACATTTATGGCTATTAATTTGGTATTAACCAAAGATATTTTAGAGTGAATCTAGCTGTGTTGTTTTTGGCCTACTTTTTTCGATTTACAGTGAAATTTTATCAACAGTAGGCTCCTAGTAGCGCACAATACATCATGATGAGTGATTGAATCTTCACACACTTGTCATATGTATCTCAGAGTGAAATGGTTGAAACTTCTGTACAATTTTCTATACCTTTATCCTTATAAATTTGGGAACCGATGCAAGAACTATAACTGTAATATCCCTCCGAGCTGAAAGACTATCTGATATATTTTCCAACTGTTCTGTGAAGTTTCCTCAGCCTCGACAATTCTATACTGTTTGTGGAGCTTGGTGATCATACTTCAGGAAATTAGGAATCTTAATTCTATAATATACACTAGCATTGTTTTATGAAATCTCCTTAGCTTAGAGATTATAGTTTCGCTTTCATTTCAGGCAATGAAGCTTTATAAATTTACAACATCATACTGTGAATTCTGTTCTGCATGTTTAGGTGCTGTAATTTGGCTTAATATCTGGTATTGAATTTTGGAAATAATTAGGTACTACATGGATTGAATGGGCATGGATTGGAGAATAATTAAGCTATTTTCATATCTATTGATCTATTTCTAATCTGTTTATAGACATCAACAGTTTGAAGATACATGAAGTTAGATTCTGTGTGATTATAAAAAATGACCTCAATTATCTGATCATTAGGGAGATGAAAGGAATATGTCTTTTTCTTCGCCACATATGATCAGCTGACATTTAGCATCTGCAGTTCAGCTGCATAGTTTCAATTAAGCATTGTTGCAGCATTAGACATCATAATTCATAGTCCAAACGTATGCGATCTTGGTTTGACAGTTGAAACTTGAAAGCTTAAAAGTCAGTATTCTTTTGAGTGCTGGAAATCGATGATGTTTGCTTCGTTGAGTCTTCTGGGATCTTCTGTCATACTTTATAGAGAGAAAAAAAAAAAAAAAATCTCACTACTTTGACCTCTATGTATTATATGCTTTGATGGTTCAAAACTTGAAACACTTCAAAGTGCTCAGCTTAGAGGATTTTTCATGGATGCTCAAAGAATTGGACTTGAAACTTTTCCTTGTAACTGACTTATTTGTGAACACAGGGTACAGCATACATGTTCAGTATCATATCTCTAGAGAAGTATACAGCTATATGCGTGGATAGTAGCCTTTTGCGGCTCTAATTTACACAACAATGCCCTCAATTAGTCTCTAAGATCACAAAAATGACCCCTTAAAAGTTATAACCCCCATAATTCTGAAAACATTTCAAAAAGTACGTATATCACAATTATAAATTGCTAGAGCTTTAGATTCAAGGGCTGAAGCAGAACAATCATTGAATCGACCCGGCGTTAGTCAAAGTAAGAAAGTAGAATGATAATGAAGAGGGCAGATTCAGATTAGTCATAAACTTTTGCTCTTTGGTCATTTTTCTTGAAAGTTTATGATATGACATGGTGGTAGTTCTTCACTTCTTTGTTGATTAATCACATTTTTTTTTTCTTCTTTAGATTAATTTGGTCCATTGGTCCCCTTCCCCCCACTCCATCCTTGAATGACCATAATATCGTGCCATTACTTCAATTATAATGTTTAAATATGTTTTGTTCTTTTCACTTCAAAAAAAAAAAAAAAAAAAAAAAAAAAGTCAGTTTGACATTGTTAGTGTCATCAATTGAAATGTAAGAATCAATGAAACCGTTATTTCATGTAGTAGCAATTTATAAAATCTTTGACTAAACTTTATATAATCACATAACTTGAAAAGTTACATCAATGAATCTCTTTAAAAGTTTATCGTTTTGTGTGCATCTTACTATTATAAATTAATGAATAATGAGTATTCGATTCATTTTAATTAGTTTGGGTTAAGTAATTAGTTCATGTTTGTGCCAAGAATTATAGGTTGAAATTTTTTTACAACAAAAAATCTCGCCTATTTATATCGATCTATTTTCACGATAAAGCATATTTCTTAAAGTTTTAGTTTATATATATAGTTAAATGGGCTACGATCACATTCATTAAGGAGAAAGGGATTTGGACCGGTCTAAATGATGTTCCTTCATCAATAATCAAAAGCCGTGTTAATATTGTGATTCAATTTGAACTAGTAATATAACAGGCAGAGTTTGACAACTGATATATACTATAGTGTCATTGATAAGATAACTATGATAGCATATCAAGCAACCATATCTTTGTAAACCTAACTTACGCATTGCAACAGAGAGATGACAATAAATATAACAATTAAAATAATAATCAGAAAAATCAAACCTAGCATAAGGGAGCAAAAAGAATTAGGAATTTGAAACACCCAAATAAAGAGAAATATCCCTAGCCCATTAATTAGTTGATTCATATGTATCATAATAGTGACAAATAACATCATCACGCTTATCCTAATTTGGCAATACCCACTATTGCAAATTTGTAAGGCCTTTTGACTTTCCTAATTAAAATTTAAATTGTGTTGCCTTAATTTAATTTGCAACAATTATCATGATCATCTAGTACTCCCCAATTACTTTACTATATGATGAAGATAACATTATCAATTGGAGAATGTTACAATAAAAAAAATGTCATAATCTAAAAAAGGCATTTCACTTTTCTTATAGTTTAGGTATTAATTAGTGTTTTAAATAATATATTGGGAGAAGTACATTATACATTATTATGAGAAAATTAAAATATAGGAAGATAATAGTGTAATATACCGTTTCTAGAAAGTTGATGATCTTAGAACCTTTAACAATTGCCATTATTTATTACAACAAAATTTTGTCTTGGTTATGGGACAAAAAACAAAGCAGCTTATATTTCAGTTAACAACATGTATTGTAATCATATTCCTAACTAGACATAGAAAAATTGTACAACTATATTTCAACTTGATTGAGATTTGATTACATATTACATCTTATACATTGTTCTGTGTTGATCTTCGAGATGTGATCTCAAATCTTAACTAACTCTTTAGAAATAAACTTTTATACCATTGAACATATCACAGTCCAACTAGGTGGCACAAAGCTAAGTTGGAACTTACATATATGAAGTCTAGCTTAGCCTTTTCCTTCTTCTCGTTGTATATGGGATACCTTGTTTCATATGATGTGGACCCCTCTACTAACTTTCTTTCTTTCACTCTACTAAATTTTTTAATTGAACCCAAACCTGACGTATATGAAGATTATCTATTCACGAAACAAGGGATTATAATTAAAAAGAATTCCTTTAAATGATGAACAATAATTCCTCTAGAGCCTATGAGCAAGTAGTCAATAATTGGTAAGAACTTTAAGGTAGATAATAGAATAAAAGGAGTTCCATAAAGCTAGCTACCATTAATAATTTAGTGTTAAGAATGAACAACAACCAGTACAAAATTGAAGGAGTTGAATGCCAGCATAAAGTTGTTTTTCATTACTATAATTAGGCGCCTTTGTCGCCATGGTGCCATATATAGCAACCCCACAACCCACCAACGCCATTTTAAAGTCTAAATCTATAAAATGAACCATTTTTCTTTTCTTTTATTTTTTGGATTGAGAATGGGGGGACTCAAGGGAGGACCAATATCCCCATACTTAATAATTTTCTCATGTTTTTTATTTAGTCCAAATTCACCCTAAATTGCATTGGATTCTCCATTTTTTTAAAAACAAAAATTAAAAAAAATAATAATAATAATTTTTATGTAATTTTTTGTTTATATAAGGTCAATCTTTACAAACTTCTACTAAAAATTGATACATTTGGCAATAAAGAGTTTTTCAAAAAAATTGAAATAATTAAATAAACACTACTTAAATATGTTTATTTAATTATTTCAATATAATCTACAATTAATTGTCTTGTTTTTAAGTTGTCTATAAATTTCAAGATTACACACTTAAATATGTTTGAAGTTCTTTCCACTGATGAGTACAAAGTGTGTAAGTTAAAAGAGTTTACGTTGGTTAGACTAGGCAGTTTTCCATATATATATCTATAATGTGTGACCTAATTTTATTTATGATGAGCTTGACTAATAATAATCATGCATGTTGTAATTATAACAACCTTATGGTCATGTTTATGGTTATCGATAAGTGTAATCCAAATCAGTTACATAGTGGGATATGATCTGGGGTAAGATTTCAAATTAAGATAACTTGAAAGCTATTCAATTGCTCGCCAAGTCAAACGAGGATGTTGTGATTGACAAATGCGTATATTTGTAACACACGCGTCATGCAACCTACATTAATTCGCGTTATTGTAACATTTAATTAAGTCATGCAATATCTAGGCGTATGCTAAAAACTCCACAAACAACCATCTTTGGCTTGAAGTAGTAATTTGGAAATCATATCACTTGAAAATTTATGGCTACATATATATATTCCAAGGAGGAAGCCAAATTACAAGATTCTCTAAATATAGACCCGATTAGACCTAATTGCCCACCCACCTAAATAAAGAAACTTTCATGGGCCTCAATTGGATTATTCTTGTCCTATTGAAAACCAAATACACTGAATAATAACATTGCTCAAATAAATCTTAGTTCTCAAAACACGTTATTAAGCACATAAGACAAATTAGTACTAGCACTACTATTACATTGTCAGTGCATTAATAATGCAAATGTTTAAACATGTCGTCTCACATAAATAAATCTTAGTAAAGTGATATAACAAGATTTCTAAAATAGGTCCATAATTCTACTATATACACTCAGTCACACACACCTTCTATGATAGTCACAAGCACTAAGCAAGTAGGCAAAAAGACCCACCACCAACTTGCCAATTACATGACTAAAAAAAGGCAATGAAAGTCCCATTTAAAAAGGATCTTCCCCCCCTTCTTTCCATCCCACCACAAAACACACTCAAAAAACTTCAATTCTCTCTTTTCTCTCTAAAAACTAAACCACCAAAAAAATTAAACATCTTGTTTAAGAGAGTATATGTAATAAGACCATATATATTACTTAATCATGTTGCGTACATTGTCCGCGCTAAGGCAACAAATTGTCACCAAGAGAAAGAGTCCTAAGGTCGCCGATGAAACCATGTTTAGTAACACCAACATGGATGCATCAGGCATGCCTATATATGCCCATGACATAAATCGAACCACCCGGCGGCAACACCAAGCTTGGAATAACGGACTCTCGGTTATTTCAACCATTGTTCGTATCCCGTTTTCTATCCTTTCTTGCTTCTCTCAACACCATGGAAACCCCTCGGACGCTATGTGGGTTACCGGAGAAATGGTTAGAACTTCATCGGAGATTGATCATCTTATGATCAGTGACAGCATGCGTTATGCAATTTTGATGTAGATCACACCTTTTTTTAGTAGGGTTTTTTTTTTTTTTTTTTTTGTTAAACTTGGGTTAGGGGGGTTTGAGGGTTTCCAAGAGTAATATATACTTGTACATTAGTACATGTAAGAGCTATATGAACTACCAGTGGATGTATTTAGTCTCTGTAAATTCTAGCAAATTATCTTGGAAAATAAGGGTTTTATTTTTTATTTTTTTTTAATCTTCAAAGTATAATTTCTTACGGTTTAAGCTTGGGTTGGAGTAGGTAAAGCACCTTTCCTGTTTTTTTTTTTTTTTTTTGTTTACTTTTTTTTTTTTATAATTTTGGGTGGTCCAACATATGAGAAAGCTAAAAATGTATTTGTACAGAAATTAAATGGAAACTAATATTTGTACATAGCTTAACTGAAAATTTATTAGGATCTCACATTTTTTGATATATGATATGCAATTTGTAGGAGAAGATATATCCACAATCAAGAGATGATATATCCAAGTTTGATGTTTACTAACATGAAAATCCGATAATAAATCCAAGTTTGATGTTTACTAACATAAAAAAACGATTTCATGATAAGGGTAATTTTTGGTCAATAGCTTAATGTAGTTTTGTGTATTCGGTTTGTAACATTCTACTTTGTTGACTTCAAATTGAGCATCAAGATTCTCAAACGAAGTTAATACCTTTACGATTGAGGTGGATAGTCTTTTGACCAAGGAATGTGACCTATTGGTATGGAGTAACCTTATCTATTTCAAGCAATTTCCCTATAAAATTTGGATCAATTTTTTTCAAATATATATTAATCGTATGTACGTCTTTGGATCAATTTATATGTTTACATCATTCATGTT